TATATTTCATATGTATGAAAAATATTAAGGAATCTATAGAGTATATTTTGTTCATTTACTCCAATGATTTTTTTTTTTAATAGGAACGAGTCCCTAATTTAATATGTAAATGTGTTATCATGATAGAGGTACCACTATTACAAATGGATAAAATTAGACAGAAATTAGATTTTCAGGAGCATTAAATATACATTTTGAGACAATTTCTTACATAACCTAACCATTTTCTTTAACAAAATCAATTTATTTAAACAGATAAGTTGGACTGATTTTTATTCAAAAAATTGGTTGATTATATTGTTATAATTACTAAGCTGACAATATTAGAATTGGAATCTAAAAATAATTCCTGTTGATAACAAAATTATGTTACTAATTATTACATTTTTTATACAAAAAGTATGTAAATTTATGTCAATTGAAAGGAATCAAATAAAATTAGCAAAGAAAAACAAAGATTTGTTAACAAAAGATGAATGGATTATTCAAATTACATATCAACTTGGTCCATTATTCAATTTAAAAAAAAACTTTAAACAAAAATGGTTTACCTAAATCCGCTTGAAACTATTGAAATTTTCTCAAAATGTGTATTACAGGTACCTAATTTCACTTACCATAACCACATTTTAATCAAAGGTCATCCATCTGAAATAATTAGCGGTACATTTTAGCTAGAAGATACTGTACAAATATTTAGTTGTCAATTTTTACATAGGAAGACTTAATATACAATTTAAAATACACATTTTATGCAACATAAAGATAAGTTCGTCTATCTTCAGCTGATCTTGCAAGGTATTCTCTTTCAATCAGTCCTTCGATTCTTTTTTTGATAATAACAGGAGAAGGTAAGAATCTGACTTTGAGTTGTTCTACAACTTCTAACACAAGGGCATTATGCTAAAAATTTAGACAAAATTGTTAAAATAAATATTTCACATCAAATCAATGATAAAAATTGTATTCTAATAATTACAATCATTTTTTTCCGAGATTTCATAACGCGTACAATAGCAGCTTCAATTTCATGCTTACGGTCTTCATCTACCTTGCTTCTAGTTTCTTTTCTTTCTGGTTCAGTTTCACCTTTAGCTGCAACTGTTTGAATTTTCACTCTACGATGAACAGAATAATTTAGTAACACAAATTCAAATAAAAATATATATTGTTTACCTATGCAATTTTGAAGTAAATGATTCATTAACACAGAATTCATGATTTAATTCTATTTCTTTACATTTAGGAGTTTTCAAAAGTATACGCTGTGAAGGTTTCCCTAATGCTAATGATTGTAATGCTCTTATTAAATCTTTGTCAGGAATATCAGTTTCACTTTGTATATCCTAAAATTTTAATATTTTTATCATGTTAACATACAAAATAATTTTATACAAATAAAATATAATTTGAATAAATGTTAAATAATGATAATAATTTACTTCAAAAGATAATTTTTCATGAGTATTGAACATTAAAAGAATACACATCTGATATGTCGACACTTGAATTATGTGTTTTCGCACAGTAGTTGGGTTGAGGGAATTAGCTGAAGATATACTTGTCGATAATTCATTATCTGATCGTTTTGGACCATAGAATACAGCATTCAAATCAGCTGATCCAAGTTGTGGTTGCAATGTTAGTTGTCGTCCGTTATGTTTCCCCAAATAAAATCTGTTATGAAATATATTTTAAAATACTAAAAGTAAATAAATTATTAAATAATAAACCTTTAATGTTTAAGGTTCTACTCATGTCCTGGCATTTCTAATGTGAAACTCCAACTTAATATTTGTTATTTTCACCGCCTTATATTATATTCCACTCATTTACTTATTGCTCTTAATTGTATTTAAAAATTTTTAGTCAAACTTTATTAATAATGTTATTTAGTAAAAACTCCTGATAGCATAGGACTATAGAATTGAAATGTATTTACAGATAGAAGTTTTTTTTTACATCAATAATTTATGTTGTCTATTATATTTGACAATTTTTATATTCTAAGCTATTGTATATTGCAAATGTTTAGATTCAAAAGGTACAATTTACAAATTTGTATTATTTTAGAAAAGCTRATTTAAATGTTTTTTAATATTTCTCAGTTAATAAATTATCAAATTTAAAGTTCTATTGTATCATTTGTATCAATAGTTAATCAAGAAGAAACTAAATAGTTCTAAAGGGAAAATATTTTAGCCCAAAAATTAAAAATCAAATATAAGATAAAACCATTTTGCAAACAATATAAATATATTACTGTACCACATAGAAATTATTTTACAATGTAATATAAACCTAACATACAAAATAATGTACAGTGGAACCTAGGAAACTAGAACCTCTCTAAGTGGAATTTTCAATAACTCATACATTTTTTCATCCCCAACCTAACCAAAYAATCAAGGTTATACTATATATTGATTACATTATTACACCTAATTTTATTTTGTGTAACACCGTCAAATTTTATTTAATACTTGGATAAAACTAACTAAATTTATATAACTGTTTTCTGTTTTCCTTATAATATAATTTGTTCTATTATGTAAATCATTATATAAAAATAAAGCGATAAAATATATTAATTAGAATGCCATACATTTTGAGTTTTTAACAGTGAGTAGCTAATGTAAAAATGCAATATGCACTATGCATCATTTTTTTAATAAAAATTGTATTATTATTATTGTAAACACTACAATAGTACAATATATTATATTTAATMATAATATAAACTTAATATTATGATAACGAAATGTGCGAGAACATAAAACATTGGAATATAAGTAATAACCCATTTATCCATTTATAACATTAATAAACTTTATACACCACATGACCACACGTTGCGTTTGTGTCACTCAACAACAACCCACAAGTACAACTAATTTGTTTAATTCTTCAAATGTTACTCAGATAAATTAGGTACTCATATCATAACTATTGTTATTCTTATAGTAAACTCACAGTCGGTATTCTGCAAAAGCACTCCTAGGAACTAATGGTACATTACACTTCGATAATGCATGGGTAGGCCAGAACCCTGTAGTTAATACTCTCACAGTAAGATCCACAGCATGTAAGTACCGCTAAAATAAGATTTTAAAACAAAAAGTTGGTTAGTTGTATACAATATTACATTTAATTAAATAATTAAATAATTGATATAAACTAATATAATCAAAGTTATATTTATAATATATAATATCTAAATATTATACAGTAGAAACTCAATAATTTGAAATTCGGTGAACAGAGCTAAAAATGTAATTTTTGGAGGTCTTCAATTTAGCAAGTTTGTTTTTTGGTGATAAAAAATTAATAATTTGAATAAAATAGTTGAAAATTGTGTATTACGGTATTTAACTAACCACATGTTTATTATTTAATTTACTCTATTAATCTACTTAGTTTTTCATTTTATTGTTTATAAATATTATATTTCATAAAAAAAATTATAAGCAWTTTGGKATGATTTATATACTATTTTTATAGCGATGGGCAATGATTATCGAAATGTTAAATGGATAATCAACTTTTCAGTCCGAAACCGTTAGTACAATTTCTTTCTGATACATAATTTAAATATTTTTTTGTTATTTCCTATCAACAAACTGAAGGTTTGAAATGAATTGGGTCTTTATTTTTTTAATTGGGCGTTTAAAAGGACAAATGAAAATTATTTAAAAATGCCCTTCAACTTGTACAGTATTATATGATATTTTTATACTTATAATACTTACATTATTAGACTTAGCAGCATATTCTTTAAATTCTTCCATGATAGTATTAGATATGGACATATCTTTAAACATACCTTCCAGTTTTGATGTGAATTGACAGCCACACTCAGTCTATATAGAAATTATAAAATCATTTGATTTAAATATCTCCACTAAATAAAATAAAAATTACCTTGAGTTTTGAGATCATATTTTTTTCATTGTCATTGCTGACAGACTTATTTAAAAGTAATCTCTTTGCTAAATGCTGTTTATAATACCTTTCAAATACATCTTTTTCTTGAAGAAAGCGAAAAATAACCATAGCTTTGTCCAAGACTAATTCTACATCATTTTCAGTTAACTGTAAATTGTAATAACATATTAACAATTTTTAATTTATGAATTAAAAATGTAATTATAAATGTTCAGACAATTTAATGTCATCAATTTATAATTAATAACAACATATGGATGAACTATAAAATGAGTAACAAAAATATAAATAACTTCATAGACATGAAATGTCTCAATTCATAAAATGAGCGAATAACTTTCAAGATTCACAAACGTTTTTTATTAAATTTGAATGATTATATAGAACTATTAATTACTATGATATCTATTAATACATAATATTTATAATATATGTTCTTTGTTTATAAGAAAAATAATTGTAATACTTCCTAATTTTAAAAAATAAAAATATGTTATCATTTTTTTAGAAAATCTTTAATACTTAGTCTAGCCAAGTGATTCATTTAAGATAAACAAAATTAAAATGTAATTGTAATGTTTTTTATATTATTTCAAGTTGTTGTTTTGTAAGTTTTACATATATTAAAAATATATACTGGCATTATAAAATGTAAAAACTTAAAATCTATAATAATAATTTATAAGGAATAGAAAAAATATTTTTTTTCCATTGTTGTACAGTACAATTACATTGTACAACAACTTAAAACTATGGGAAAACTCGCCTAAATCAAAACAATTTGATTTTTTTTTTTT